TATCTAAACCTCCCAGCAATTTCGATGTGGTTTTTATTAAATCCTCCTGGAAAAGCTACAATCCATTTTCAGAGTGTAGAAAGTTTTGATTGGTTGTCTACCAAGTATAATTCAACATTGAAGGAACAAAAGTCCTATGATCCAAGATTTACTTCAACCCTCCAACCATCTGCGGTTCTATCTGCCAGACATCTTTCCAGTACTGAATAAGATTGTTCTTTTCGATCACGATGTGGTAGTGCAAAGAGATTTAACTGAAATTTGGAGTGTTGACATGAAGGGCAAAGTAAACGCAGCTGTGGAAACTTGTACGGAAAATGAAGCTTCATTTCGTACTATGCATATGTTATTGAACTTCTCAGACCCATTTTTGGCGAAGAGGTTTAATCCGAAAATAGCCTGAAGCTCCACAACTCCTCCCAAACCACAATAGCTCTTTATCGAAAATAGCCCAAAAAAAATTTCGGATTTTCGGATAATCCGAAAATTATTTTTTACCGATCCGTATCCGATCCGATAATCCGAAAAAAATTCGGATACCCGATCCGAACTATCCGAAAATTGAAAAACGGATCGGATATCTGATTTTTCGGATCGGATCAACGGATCGGATCGGTTGGATCGGATGTTTTTGCACACCCCTAGCCTTAGCCATAATCTGATAATCATTACTACCAAAAGAAATGGAGATAGTAGTAGTAGAACACAAAAGGATTTGATACAGACGGTATATATATCATATTTGGCGAATGAGCCTTTCAAGATATTGTGTTGGGTCAGAAAAAAAAAATTACAGTAACCACAGCCACATGACATTACTATGTTACTCCATAAAGTTTCGGTAAATCTTTTGGAATCCCTAAAAAGAGAGAACTTCAATTAATGGCAATGATGAGAAAACCGACGGATACATACATAAGAAAAACGGGATACAGAGCGAGCGCTTTTCTCCTCGGATTGACAGCTGAACTCATGAAAGGATAGGCAGCCCATGAGCTCCAAGCCAATGTCACACTGACCACAACTATTTTCACTATGACATTGTCCTTCAACATACAGATTAGGGCTCCTATATCCAGGGGAAATAAACAATAACCGAGAAGGCTCAAACTCTGGAAAAAAATAATATGCCCACCCTGAAACAATGTAAAGGAAAAAACCCTCAGCAGCAATCACTCACCATCCATGCATAGCATTTTTATATTAAAATTCAAAAATAATGGTATGAATCATATGCAAAATGGGGATTCCAAGAATTAATTAAATTTAAATATAAATTTAAATAGCTTGCAAAGAATCCAAAGTTGCTCTCTAGAGGAGAGACCATTACCAGTAGTAGTACATTCAATGTCAAGATTACAGCACCAGCTGCGAGCAGGGCAAATGCTACAGCAAATACCTCAGACTGAAACATTTTTAAGAGGAGAAAAGTTAGTACTGACATAAAAAGAACATGATTTTATATAATAAACATTATAAAGAAGAAAAAAGAATAAAGGTGTACAGGAACAAGAGATGCATCTTATACAGTGAAAATATGCAGAACAGAAATAGTGTAAAAAGATCATTGTCAGATGAAAACTAAACAGTAGAAAAGAAAAGGCAATACTCCAGGAGGAGAAAACACAATAAGATGATATCTCATTGAAATGAGAACTTGTAAATTACCGGTAATAAAAAAAATCAACGAGACAATATCTCTTCAAAATGCAAGTATCGTCATATATCAAAAGATCCTGAAAGGAATTTCATGCAAATGGACAATGTAACACCTCAATGTTTATCAGTGAATGTAATGGAACATTTCCATCGATAGATGGAATGAGAACTTCGTTTATGGTTCAAACCTTGCAAAAGTCCTAAGGTACTAAGTAGCCCAATATATAGCTCTTAACTCATGATGGGAGAATATCAAATCTCATGCAAAATCTATTACTTTGAAGGAGTGGTAAATGATAATAATCAAAGAAGAATTGGCATTCTAAGATCACTAAAAGCCAAGAACGGACATTACAGAAAATAAATGGACCAGCTGAGAATAACAGTATACAACCCACCGGAAAGATGCTGAAATTATATATTAGCCTTAAATCAAAATCTTACGAATCACAACTTGAATTCAAGGTTAGGGTTTAATAAATATTCAAAAACACAGGCAATAGAAAGGTGTTACTCGGTGTTTGGCACTTATACAAGTGAAAAACGTTGCAAAAACTATCAAAAACAACAGCAATTGTATATCAAAGCTTATTCCATGATGCAGTCCACAACAAAGATCATATTGTATCACTGTGTTATATTTGAAACTATTAAATAATGGAGTCATGGACGAGGCAACAAATTCTAGAAAGATAATATCCAAGAAAACAAAAGGGGAAAAAGAAATTACGGTCAAGGTCTTTACACTTGAAGAACAAACATCCAAGATACGCATAGATCTGAATCCTCCAAGGTAAAACAATTATTCTAGAACACTGTTGCATTTTAGAGACTTGTTCATTTCATGTACCACCATTTATATTTCAAGTAACGAGTAAATAGAAAAACAATTAGAAGATTTCAAGATAATGTCATTTCCTCCCTTTTGCAATTTAATTTAAACTACCATGATTCAGAATAATCTTTTGCAAGATCTGGGACAAGTTTCCCAGCTTTTAACAGCTAACTATCGTAATTAATTACATGTACATCAAGTTAATTAATCACAAGTTATCACAAGCACAAGGAAAAGGTAAAAAAACGAAGTCCAATGTGAGAACAAAACCTTCTTAACAGAGGCGGACCAAGAAAGCGTGAGTCCCAAAAAGACAATGAAGAAAAAAGGACCCCATAGATCCCAATCTCTCAAGGCTTTTCCAGGATCTTCTCTGTAGGGATTCGGAAACACCACTAAGTTCAAGTTACTAACGATCCTCGACAGATCTCTCTTCACGGTGTCCCAAACGGGCTCCGTTAGCGTGTTGGGTGCAGGACCGAACCCGGTAGCGGCGATTCTGCTGGAGTTTCCGACGGAGGGAGGAGGAGGGGCGGCAGCGACAGACGGCACCTTCTGATTGGACGACGATGACTGCGGAGGCGGAGGGGGGATTTGAGACTGGATGAAGGGGTTAGAGGAGACAGGGATGGAGGCACGAGGTGGGCTTGGCGGTCGGGCCGGGAGGACTGTGGCTGGGCCGGATTGGACGCTGGCATTGATTAGATTCTCGATCTCGTCGATGTCCGATTGGGACGACGGGTGAAGAGGTATCGTATCGCTGTGAGAATTTGACATTTCTTTGTTTTCTTGAAACAACGAAATTTCCTTCCCTCTCTGGGAAAATAAATGGATCTGAGTCTAGAGTCGGTACGAACGAGGAACTAAGAGGGAAGAGTGTGTGTGTTTATTCGTCGGTTGGGAGTTTGATTTCTTTCTCTCGTTTCTCTTGCCAAGTTATTGTTTGTCTCGCTTCTGAATTCTTAAAACGCCGTCGTTCCAGAGTCGACGCTAGCGACATACGAGCATGAATAAACGTGGAAGGACGAGGACTAAAAAAATAATAAAGATCAAAATGGCATTTGTTTCCTTTTCATACAATGCTCCATTCAAAGTAGGGAGAATTCACGCGGGTTTTGAAATACACCATTATAAAATTGGGTAAACTTTACGTTTAATACTTAAACTATTACTTTTCTTGCAAAATTATATCTAATATTTAGTTTAAATTTCAATTTGGTATCATATTGGTATCATGTTGTTAAAAATTTAATGGTGATATTGACATGTCACAATAAATTAATGTCACACCATCATTAAAAAATAAAAAAATATTGTTATATCAACATTTTTATTAATTTTTTAACATCGAGACTAAAAGTGCAATTTATCTTATAAACTTTTAGTATATTAGAAAAATAAATAATTATTTTTGAAAAAAAATAAGAATGCAAATGAACAAAACATTTGATGAATTGTTCGTGAACCGTTCGCTAATGTGAATTTATTAAGTTAGGTAAACGGGTATGAATTTATGTTTATTTAATAAACAAACGAACATGAACAACATTATATTTGGTTCATGTATGTTCACGAACAAACTCATTTATAAATTTGTTTACCTACTCATTTATAAGTTTATTTCCTCAATTTTCCTTTTACTTTTATCAATTACGTTTTAGATATCGATGAAAGTATTGAGTGAATTAAACATAGTGCGAACTTTAGAGTTCAAACTATGAAGTGTAATTAGTTTAAGGATTGGTGGTGTAATTTTATCATTTTAACAAACCTATTCGGGAATGATAAACGAACATGTTAGCTAACGCTAAACGACATATTTGTAGACAATAAATGAATATGTTTTCAAATACTAAATAAACAAATACGAACAATTTCAAAAATAAATAAACTAACACAAAATTAAAAATTAAACAATCACAAACAAATATTCAATTGTATTCGTTTAAACATTAATTTACACCTTAAAAAATCAATTTATTAGAATAATTTGAAATTGAAAATACAAAATTAATAATAGAAAATAGATGACAACGATGAAAAGCAAAGGAAATTTTATTTATCCTTCAGGTGGTTTGTTTTTAAGTTTACTGTTACTTTTTATTCTTGAAACTTTTATTTTATAGTTTATTATTTTAATAAATTATCTGATGAGATTCAATAGAAAAGAAATTAAAATTAAAATACAATGTAAAATCCCAAAAAAGGGCACGTCAAATAAACATCCGAGTAAAGAAAAATCCAAAGGAAGCGTAGACGGCATGAATCTAGAGGGATAGAAAATTATGTGCCGCCTCTTTATGTCACGATTAGGGTTCCGGCGAAGCGGGAGAATTGGGGATTTGAGGGTTCCGGCGAAGTGTAATCGAAATTTGGGAAAATAGTTGAATGAAACGGGGCGTTTTAATCCTGTAACCTTGTTTCTTCTGATGAAATCACAACACTTTACTACTAAGATTATTAAGAAATTAAACTAGAATTATTTTTATTTTATTTACCATTTTGTTCTGTTTTCCTTCCCTGCGGGCCTTTCCACCCAAGTCACCAACTGTGTCGTCTTCCAATGGCTGGAATCCTTTGAAATTCCCCAGACTGCCCTTCAAGTCCACCTACCCTTTTTCTTATTTCAAAAGATTTCCCAACGATTATTTGTACCGAGCTTTGGCTTCGATCCGATTTCAATTGCGAGAAAACGGGAATGGCAACTGCGAAAACAGGACGGTCCACTCGACCCTCCACGGCTGCCAAAGAAAACGTCACGAGGACCGAGGAAGACCTCACCGTTTTCAAATCCGACAAGTTCGACGCCGATGCTTATGTTCAGTCCAAGTGTTCTCTCAACGACAAGGTTTGTTATTTTTCTTTCTTCCTCTTTTTGAATTAATAAGATTTTGTTTCAAATTTTGATATATGATTACATTAGCAGGAGATAAGGCAGTTATGTTCATATCTGTTGGATTTGAAGAGAGCTTCTGCTGAAGAAATGCGTAAAAGCGTTTATGCTAATTATTCCGCCTTTATACGGTAAGCCTGCCTTTTGGAAATTTGTTTTAGTGCTTGTATAGTTCACCCAATTTCATTTGATTTTTGCTTATTGCATGTCATTTGAGATTCACTTCAATTCATCTTGTTAAGAAGAAAAATGCCCTTCTCCCCAGAAATTTCAAATACAATGTGTTGTAGATCTATTTTTAAAAGAATTTACATAGCCTGTGGCCACAAAAGCTGTAAATTCTCTGACTATATTTTTAAATCAAGTTTGAAGCTTTATTAGCTTTGTTCAGTATGTCAAGGACAAGAAGAAAGCTTCTTCTGACTATATTTCTTCACACAATTTCACATATTATGTTGTTATCTGTTGGTTAAATGTTTTCAGCTCTGCATCCATTCGTATGTCTCTCTCTCTCACTGAAAATTGTTTCTCTACTGAAACTTGTTGATCACACTGTCACGTGAATTTATGCACTTTATTTTTTGTTAGGGCTGCATTGTATAGATGCAGTGGTTGCCATTGATTTTGTTGAGGTTATTGGAAAGAGATGTTGAAACAGTGTTAGAATTTTGTTGAATCTAGAACTATTTTTTTACTGAAGAATTTATGCTGGATTGGATATGTATTTTCAAAAAAGACAAGTAAACGTGGTTAGTTTCCTAGAACCTGTACAGGTGTGAAACACTAAGAAATTTGGGCTTATTTCTTGCAGCACATCTAAGGAGATATCTGATTTAGAAGGAGAGCTTTCAACTATAAGAAATCTGCTGTCAACACAAGCAACATTAATTCATACTTTGGCTGAGGGAGTTCATATAGATTCAGTGTCTCCCAAAGTTTCTGAAGGTCCTAACGCTAATGGATTGTTAAATATTGAAGATAGTGAACCTTCAGATCTGGAGAAATGGTCAGCCGAATTCCCTGATCATCTTGATGTTTTGTTAGCTGAGAAGAGAGTAGATGAAGCTCTAGCAGCCCTTGATGAAGGAGAGCAGGCAGTTGTTGAAGCAAAGAAAACAGATTCATTGAGTCCTGCAGCACTTACATATCTGCAGACTTCTATTACAGAGCGCAAGCAAAAGTTGGCTGACCAGCTTGCCGAGGCTGCTTGTCAACCTTCTACACGTGGTGCTGAACTTCGTGCAGCAATTCTAGTTCTTAAAAGGCTTGGTGATGGACCACGTGCTCATAGGTTGCTCCTTAATGCTCATTTCCAAAGATATCAATATAACATGCTTAGCCTTCGTCCATCAAGCACCTCATATGGAGGAGCATATACTGCTGCCCTCTCACAGTTGGTGTTCTCTGCTATTGCTCAAGCTGCCAGTGATTCCCTAGGAATCTTTGGTAAAGAACCAGCTTATTCTTCGGAGCTTGTGATCTGGGCTACGAAGCAAGCAGAGGCTTTTGCCTTTCTTGTTAAAAGACATGCATTGGCTTCTTCAGCAGCTGCTGGTGGTCTAAGGGCTGCTGCAGAATGTGTTCAGATAGCTTTAGGTCATTGCTCATTGCTGGAAGCTCGTGGCTTGGCACTTTGTCCTGTACTCTTGAAACTCTTTAGACCTAGTGTTGAGCAGGCACTCAATGCTAATCTCAAAAGAATTGAAGAAAGCACCGCAGCTTTGGCTGCAGCTGATGATTGGGTGCTAACATACCCCCCAGGCAATACTCGTCAATCTGGTTGGCACTCTAGTGCATCCCTTAGTAACACAACAGGATTTCAGCATAAACTAACGAGTAGTGCTCATCGGTTCAATTCTATGGTCCAGGTGAACAGCTTAATTAATTAGTTAATTTTTTGCTTGGCGTTTAATTTATTATAAAATATATCTTGTCCTCAGCATGTTTTGGGAAACAGTTCGACACAATCTGTCTTCTTTTGTAGAGAACTTGAGAAAACAAGGATTTCAATGTTTAATTATTACTTATTTTATTGATCATTTATGATGCGCACGTAAAGATAGAAAAATGGAAAGCATTTTCATAGAAAACTTAATTTCAATAATAAAATTACTCTTTTATATGGATCTAGTTCCCCATTTGGTGATTTTCTATAAATTACTTTGCAACTGCTTGTCTGTCTTTTGTTTTAGTTACTAAATGCTAATTAAGTATTTCTCAACCTCGGTATGTTTAATTGCTAAAATAACTGTTTGCTACATTTTCTTTTATATTGTATTTCTTTAATATTCATGATTTTGGTGTATTAATTCATTTTGGCAATAGTTTTGTGTTTTTACTTAGACTCTTTATGGGTGCATGACTATGGTCTATGAGCTCTCTTACGATATCATTAATATATGACCTAGTTATTGAGCTATTGAAGATCCTGCATCTCCCTTGGTTCATTTTTTTGATGTAACAGCATCGTATACTTTCACTCATTTGATGTATATTCTACTTCCCCTTATAGGAATTCTTTGAGGATGTTGGACCGCTATTAAGCATGCAGTTGGGAGGACAAACACTGGAAGGTTTATTTCAGGTGTTTGACTCATATGTGAACATGCTCATAAAAGCATTACCTGGTTCAATTGATGAAGAAATGGACTTTGGGGGTACTGGAAATAAAATTGTGCGGATGGCTGTGACTGAGGGCCAACAAATTGCATTGCTAGCAAATGCATCATTGTTGGCAGATGAACTTCTTCCACGTGCAGCCATGAAACTGGGCCCAAGTCAGGGTAGCTACAAGGATGATCACCGCAGAAAAACTTCAGATAGGCAAAACCGTCATCCTGAGCAGCGGGAATGGAAGAGGCGCCTTTTGAGTTCGGTTGAGAGACTAAAAAATACATTTTGTCAACAGCATGCCCTAGATCTCATTTTCACAGAAGAGGGTGAGAGCCATCTTACTGCAGAAATGTATATTAATATGGACGGTTCTGCAGAAGAGGTGGAATGGTTTCCATCTCCAATATTTCAGGTAACTTTAGAATATTTCCTTTTTTATTTTTATTTTAAAATCATTTCATCTGGTTATGTTGGGTAATAAAACTATGAGATAATTATTAAGACATATATGCTTAGAGTTTCTTGCTTGCTCACTCATTGCCTAGTTATCGGATCTGTTATCAAGCAGGAACTTTTTGCAAAACTAAACAGGATGACTAGCCTGGCGGCAGACATGTTTGTAGGAAGGGAAAGATTTGCTACATTACTATTGATGCGACTTACAGAAACTTTTATCATATGGCTCTCGGAAGATCAAAGCTTTTGGGATGATATTGAGGAAGGACCGAGGCCTTTAGGTCCATTAGGTTTACAACAGGCATGCAAACTTAGTATCATTCCTTTTGTGTTTGTAAATTTGTATTGGATTTTTAAAATTGACATTTTTCTTTGTACATTTGCAGCTTTATCTGGATATAAAATTTGTCATATGCTTTGCTTCCCAAGGTCGGTACCTATCAAGAAATCTGCATAGAGTTGTCAATGAAATAATTGCTAAAGCCATGGCGGCATTTGCTGCTACAGGGATGGATCCATATAGGTATGCTATGATATTATCATTATTAGTCTCCCCAGCTATGCCTGTATATTCTAAATGGATGTATACTATTGGTACAACCAATGTCGTAAGTCATACATAGATCACTTTATTTAGAGCATTGTTCTGTGGGGGAGTAATCACAAATGTGGGGAATAGTGGGAATAATAGTACCAACTTCTAAGTTTCTTATCACAATAGGTTTGCGTCAATATCTGCATTTACGCCTTTATCACTATTGCGCCAAGAATTTTCCTATTAGGAAGATGGTGTAATTGATATCAATGGCCTTATAACTTCTGAGAGCGAGCTTGAACGAGTTGGATTTGGGTTCCAAGTGTTTTTAGATGGGGAAATGTGTGGGTTTTGTTGAATACCTTTTTGTTTAGCATTGTTGGATTTAGCATGAAGATGCGTATTGGCCATTTTTTTTAAATTGTTGGATGCATGTGTAAGAAATTCTCATTTTTGTTTTTGTTCTGTCAGCGTACTGCCTGATGACGACTGGTTCAACGACATTTGTCAAGACGCAATAGAAAGATTAAGCGGGAAACCAAAAGCAGATAGGGATCTGAACAGCCCCACCGCCTCTGTTTCAGCACAATCAATCTCATCTGTGAGATCGCATGGGAGTTCCTAGGTTATCATTCCTTTGACATTTGTATATTCAATAGTGAACATATTTTAGCAATGAATGTGGCTCTCTCTACCGTGTTCATAGTGAATCATTTTTTTTCCATTTGATCTTTGTCAAATATTTGGTTGTCTTGGCTGCAGCTGATGTATTTTGCATGAACTTATTCAAGCATCAATGATTTTATCTTGATCACTGAAATATGTTGTTTTTATTTAAGAGATATACAGAAATCATCGAGACATTCCTAATGGTGTACGACCAGCTCATCCCCAAGCCTATCCACCTTCTTCCCGACACCAACCCAGTTACTGTCAAACCATATGAAAATCTACCTTCCATAAGTACAATTTGATACTGCTAAACTATTTCTTCATGTAGAGTGTTCATTTTCTCAAAGAAGACCAGTAATCGTCTTCTGCGACCAAACCTAAAACTGGAAACTAAAAGCAATTAGCCAAGCATTTTGAAGAGCAAACCAGCAGCAGACTTGGTCCCTTCCATACCCAAAAGTTGTTATTTCAATCGCTTTCTCTCTTTGGTTATTCTCGTTCCAACGTACCTGCAAACACAAAGTAAAGCTGATTAGTTTAGCTGTTCTGTTTAACTATGAAACATGCTTCACAATCGAACACTACCTTCCAAGCATCATCACAGTTGCCTGAGGATTAGTCCCTGGTGATATAGTAAACGTTGATCCGTCGACCACTCTGAGTGCATCAATTCCGATGACATGATAGTTTTGATCAACCACTCTCCCCACGACACACCCACCGTGGTAATGCCATATGGTGCTCACAGTACGCCGGCAAAAATCAGCCATCATTTCATAGTTTGATTGGTCAACAGGCAATGAAGGCCCTACAAACCTGAAATTTCTGCCCCCAAACCATTCGGTGAACTTAAAATCATCCATGGATCGACTCCTCAAGATATCCCCAATCTTGCGGGTACCGTTCACACATCTCTCCAAGTCTATAGGATTGCTAAAGTAGTTAAAGCGTACTATAGGATTCACCCTGACATCAATCGAGGCCAACCTTAATGAACCGGTTGAAATAGGCCCGACGATCTTCTCCATGATGGTAGCCACTGTTAAAAGCAGAGGAGAAGAAGGTGGTCTGACAAACACTGAGCGTGAAGGGGTTGTAAAAGGAATACCATTTGAAGCTGCCTCCAAATAAGCCCCCATTTCAGTTATCCCGGCAACTTGTATAAGTGAGTACTCTAATGGTATCGGAGGCAAAATCGAGATGCCATTCCGCGGATTATCATAGACGAATTGGCCTACATATGGCTGGTGATTCGCAACCGGAATTCCCCAAGAAGACAAGTAAGGCCTAGGACCAATTCCACTTAGCAGCAATAATTGTGGACTTCCAATAGCTCCAGCACATAGTAGCACCTCGCCTTTCTCCTTCACCATAGCATGGTGATACCTTCCCATCGCATCGCGAAACACGACCCCGATCGCCGACTGCTGAGACATCGCATTTGAAGAAGAAGAAGCCAGTAACACCCTTTCCACACTTGCATAAGTTGCTACTTTAATATTCGATGGTTTTGCATAATTCAGAAGATCAGCAGCGCTATGCCTCCTACCTGAGCTATCGAAAGTTGAGCCACCGATCTTTGTACCGGTTAAATGCTCCAAACTAAACCCGCGGTAAGGATCGATCCCTGCCTCAAGCAAAGCATCCCTCACAGCTGATTGCCAATTCTTTAACTCTGGCCTAAACACAACTCCCTTCTCAACCCAGTCATAAGATTGATTAACCAAACTGAGATCCCAGCCGACACCTGAACTCACGTAAAAATCCGGATCAGCTCGGCTATAGAAACCGGCATTGATGGCACTGCTGCCACCAAGAACCCGTCCTCGAGCGTTTAGGACGCCGTCCTCGGAAGTAAAGCTTTGAGCAGGAGAGTCGTAGGTGTCGACCTCGGTGAGTGTGGTCAAGAACCCTTCTTGATTCATCAAATTTTGGTTACCGTAGGGAACACCTCCTCTTTCAAGAACAAGAACCCGAAACATCTGCGACAAGGTGGCGGCTAATGGACAACCGGCGGTCCCTCCTCCCACGACGATGTAGTCATAGTAGTCCTCGGTTGGAAAATACGTCGCATTCAACGAAAAGCTCAAGTAAAGTGGGTCTGCTCCGAAAAATACCAAGATGAGTTGGCATGTCAAAACAAAAATCATCCAGTAAATCTTTTTTTTTTACTTATAGTTAATTCCTCGAAGCAAAAAATGGCTAAAACATCGAAAACCAGGATTCAAAGAAAACGGATATACCAAACAGAACAAGAGGAAAAGTTATGAATTGATCTATACTGACCTCCTTGAGGAAGTGGTCTTGCGAGAGAAGGAACTGCAGAAAACAGCATCAAGATGGCAGTGCATTGAAAGCAAAAGGCCAAGGCTCTGTGCATTTCTGTTTTTTTTTCTCGGAGGAGAGAGAAATTTCTCTTGGAGGACTTAGAAATTGAAAGAGCGAAATTTTCTGGTTAATATTCAGTTGAATATCGTTATGTTCATTTAGGCGCCTCCGTAAAGGGGTCCCACAAGAATCCAAGGGTTCCTAATAGGTTCATCCAGTCGAATATTTATAATGTTACGAGATTTAAAACGTATTTCTATAATTATATACCATATATATATTATATACTTATATGTATACAGAGATGGGTTTAAGGGACAGGTCTCTTTAAAAATTTTAAATTATTATATAATGTATTTTCAATTGAAATTTTTTTGTCCCGAAAATTTTTTATAAATTCACCTCTTCTTAAAATTTTATAAGTTCGCTCTCTAACATAAAATAATGTATAAATCTCTCTCTATATATATATAATTAATGTACACAACATAAATTTAAAAATCAATTATTAAAAATTTTAAATTACTCAAATTTTATTTTGTAACTTAAACTTTATTCACAGTTTTTTTAATCAAATTATGAATAGAATCAAAAAATTTAACATCAAATCAAGTACAAAATTTTATTTTTAAGGGGTTCACCCTTAACAATGGGTGAAAATCAGAGGTGCCCCTGGTCCAGCCGACACTACGCCTCCAGGGGCAAATGAGCTGTATTGATGTCCAAGTGAAGGACGGAAAATGAACTGACGGTTCAAGAGTTGAGCAAACTGGCCCAGGTTGAGAGGATAGAGCTGGTCCAGAAAAAATGGGTCAACGACATAATTATAAGCTTGCATTAGGCCTTGTTTGATCATAGTTTGAATAACTATGCTGTTTTTGGTAACCATCGGTTGGAGTTGATGGTTTCGAGTATACCCCGGTTGATTGGAATTGCATCTACCATTGCCTCCACCACCTCTTGATGAATTTTGAACACAAACCCCCCTTATTTGTTCTTGTTGTGTATCACACAACAATTTGATCTTAGCCAAATACTCACTAATGGTCAACCCACCCTTCCTTTGGGAATGCAGATTGTGGCTTAGTGACAATTATTAACTTCATCTAATTACTTACTGATTCGTCTTGACTAATTGAATTATTAAGTAATAAAGTTTCGTATGATGATATAAAGCAGTACAAGACTTGTACCGATTTCTATTCAAACCTACTAAAAGGCATCCCAACTCATTGTCGGCTGCAATCTATGTTTGCGTACCAGACATGACCTCCAAGGTTCATCACTTTAAAAGAAATCCAATACATGCACCAAAGTCCAACTAAAATATATGGCAATGCCATTTTCTAGAGCCTTTCTCCTCCGCACATTTCAATTATTATTATTGGACATTCATCAGAGGACTACAAAGACAGTTTGAAGTAAAGGAATCTCAACAAAACAACACACCCACACCAAAACAAAGCTTTCCAGGTTCAGAAATTGATAAAACATTAACCTACTCAAAAGTCCAGATCAAAGACACGGACCATGTTATTTGGGGTATTGTTCTACCTCAATTTCAGTCACACAAATGCATCTTACAACTCTCCGATCCATCATTGCTGAAGTGTAATACAGAAAATTCCCAATTTAAAACCATAACAAAATGATCAACCACGTAGAGTAATGACAAAAGCTTACAAAAAAAAAAAGGTCAATGGTGGAACTGGAAACAAGACAACCTAAAGGTGGAAAAACAGCAAGTAGCATATCTTTCCATAACCGGAACACACTCAAAAATAATCAACAAGAAAATACAAGGAATCAACCTTGGTTAACCTGTTTTGCCTACATAGCTAGCTATTATTTTCACTAGTAGAGCAGGGGCCACTAATGCACAAATTTTGCAACAGGAAATAAAAGGGTATCCAAAGAACAACACAAGAATTCCAAAAAACAAGATATGAAACTTCCCCATTATACATTCAACCCCATTCTTGCCAAGCCTCCAGGATAAGATAACCGACAAAGATAAGGCACCCATTCCCCCTTTTGTTTACTAAAGCTAAAGCCAAATCTAAGTATCTAACATCTCTCTATTGAATTAGAAATAATAATAGTAATATAACATGATTAAAGGAGCCTCGAAGCAAGCTGATAAAGAACATAGAAAGCAGCAAACAAAATCAGAAGAAGGGCAAGTCATAAGAGATATATTTTTTTAATATTGTAAAAATTATCTTTTTTTATCAAAAGAGCAAGAGTGTGATTAATAGAAACATGAAAGGAAAAAGAAAGGAAAGACATTGCACCCAAACTCCCCCCAGACCCTCTCATTATATCAAAACTTACAGAAGAAGATAATTTTGCCCTAAACCCAAAATAAATAAAAAGTAGGGAACTAGGAAGAAAGGGGAGGTGGGGGTGGCAATAACTGATGAAGATTCTGAGCAACCTGTTGTTGTTGTTGTCCTCTGAGTATAAAAGGATGCTGCAACAACCGAGTCGCCGTCCACCTCCTGGCTGGATCCCTCTGCAAACAGCACGATATAAAATGCCTAAATTCATTGGAAGCAGTAGGTGGAGCCTCTGGTGGCTGAGACATACAAATCGCACACATAAGACTAGCCCAATCACCTTGTCGACCAACCGCGAAAGGGAACCTCCCTAAATAGAATTCCAATATGCTAACACCTAAACTCCAAATATCCCCAGCGTAACCATCGTAGAGCCCGTGGTTCAAATCGGTGTTAATCCTCTCGGGACTCATGTAAGCTATGGTCCCAACAGATGAGTTACACGGGTCCAAGGTTTGATCCAGGATTCGGCTCACCCCAAAATCAGCTATTTTGACAACCTTCTT